AAGTATTTATACTTGTTTTAAGTACAAACATAGTATTCATTGATTCATTCATTCAAGTAATAATAGAATACCTATTATCTAGATAATTTTTTAGTGGCAGAGGAATATAGATAGCAATGAATGTCATGTCATTCATCAAATCTGCCTTGATAAGCTGTTTTCTTTTGAAAGCAACCAAAACAACAACAAACAACAAAAACCTCCCTGCTTACTTCCCAGTTTTTAATTTTTTATTAGGACTTTCTTTCACTCTATTTATGGATTTTCTTCTTTCACAAAGTCCTTTCTCTCTCCACAGATTAAAGAAGAAAATACAAAGTAATTTTCTTCTTCACATCCTTTCTTGCTGATTAATGTTGCTTATGTTAGCTAGTCTTAGACTTCTGAAGATGACAAAATTAATGTTTGCTGTGTTGAGATAGAGTTTTTAGTGCTCTCCATTAAAAATTGAGACAATGTTTACACCCTCTTATATGCTGTTTACCATTTCTGTTTATATTCCGTGAGGGGAAAAGGAGGCTCTTCATCTCACAAGAGTTTGAAAATTCTATCAGAACATTTTCACAATATTGGTATGGAGAACTATTCTCATCTTCTTGACAAAATGTCAATGCATGGCCATGGTGCACTTGAAAGTGCCTATCTGTTTTAGGCAGTCACTGAAGTTCAAAGACAAGTAGGGGCTCCTAATGCTATCTGTAAAGTGTTTGGTCTTCCATATCCTCAAGAAAAAAATATATTTTATAAATTCTAACCTTTTCTTGTACACATTTAAGTAAGGTATCATGTAGATTGATTACCCAAACATCTTGGCTCTGGCAGTTTATATAGAATACGACTCCATGATAAGTGAGTCCAGTACTCTGAAATGCTGAGTAACCCAAGCTAAGTTATATGGCCAGGTGGCTAGCCTAGGGAGACATAACCCTTACTCATGTTACCACAGACTGACAACCACAATCTCTTATGCCATTTTCGGGTGAAATATGTTAAGGACAGTTATGTGATAAATAGAACTATAATGTGGAAGAACATATAATACAGGGAACTATAATGTTTAAGGACTATAATGTTGAGAAAGGCATATGTGTGGGGAAACCTCGAAGTTGAACTGTTATATTTCAAATCAATCATTTCTAGTTATGGGGTCAGGACCTTAAATCTCTGGTAAAACATTTTCTGTTTGTCAAGGGAGCAATTATATTTTAGAGTTTTTCAAAATCATACTTAAATTAACCAGTGTTGTGTTTTTTAATTCATTTTGCACACTGGGCTAAGTCTACAATTAGTAGGATTTTCTTAGAAACATGATTTGTTGGTATTAGAATTATTCACAAATAACTTATGAACATTGTAATATCAGCCTTATGGTTTGCAAATAAGAAAAAAGGCTATAATAAATAAAATATATTACATTTCAAGTCCTTTTTGAGTGGTATTTCTGGTGCCTTGATCATTTATGCTACAAATACTTATTGAGTACCTTCATGATATAGAAACTGCCATACTGTGACGAACAGAATATAGTTCCTGCCCCAAGGCACTCCCTGCCCAGGGTGGGAGAATGCTGGGTAAATAGACAACTGCCTGTCTGGAGTCCTCCCATTTGTTTGTGTACCCATTAGTATTATTCATAGAAACATAAATGTTGGCACGCCTGGGTGGCTCAGTCGTTGAGCTTCTGCCTTCGGCTCAGGTCATGATCCCAGGATCCTGGGATCGAGTCCCGCATCGGGCTCTCTGCTCCGCGGGAAACCTGCTTCTCCCTCTCCCACTCCCCCTGCTTGTGTTCCTGCTCTTGCTGTCTCTCTCTCTGTCAAATAAATAAATAAATAAATAAAATCTTAAAAAAAAAAAAAGAAACAATGCTGTATTGGCTTGTGAATCACCATATACCATCCCTGCTGATTACAAGCACATTTTCTTGAATATTGTACTTACTAGGACTTTTACTGTAAATTTCCCTGTCAGGAATCAGAAACCCTTCAGTATAAAACAGTGTGTCAGTCACATGAATGTTTCATCACTATAACATATGTGTTTGCAATGTGTTTAAACGGTTTTCTTCTCATTTCTATTGCCTTCCTGGCTCGAGTCTTCATTACCTTGTCCCCACATTATGGTCTCCTGCCTGGTCTTTTCCCTCATCCTCATTGCACCCCAGTTCTTACTGACATGTAAATCTTATCCTTATTTTAGTGTTCCTAAAATCCTATTTCTGTAAGTACATTTTCCTGGCCACTCCCTGTGACGCTTATTTCTCTGAACTGTGGGGTTTTCTATCTGTACAGTTTAGCACCAGGTCATTTTGTTGGAGGATGTTTTATATGCATATTTTGCCTTCCTGATACAGCAAGAAGCTCCTTCCAGAGAGGAAGCCATGTCTTATGAGCTCTGACTAAACTGTCATATAGGTAAGTCTTGTGAATGTCTTGTGAAGTTTTCTTTTTTAAATTCTTTATTTAAATTCAATTTAGTTAACATGTACTATAATATTACTTTCAGGGATAGAGTTTAGAGATTCATCAGTTGCATACAACACCCAGTGCTCATGAGATCAAGTATCCTCCTTAATTCCCATCACCCAATCACCCCTTCCCCCACCCACCTCCCTGCCAGCAACCCTCAGTTTGTCTCCTAGAGTTCAGCATCTCTTATGGTTTGCCTCCCTTTCTATTTCCATCTTATTTTATTTTCCCTTCCTTTCCCCTCTGTTATCTGTTTTGTTTCTTAAATTCTACATATGAGTGAAATCATATGGTATTTGTCTTTCTCTGACTTATTTCGCTTAGCATAATACACTGTAGCTCCATCCATGTCATTGGAATGGCAAGATTTCATTCTTTTTGTTGGCCGAGTAATATTCCATTATATATATATATCTTCTTTATTCATTCATCTGTCGATGGACATCTGGGCTCTTTCCATATTTTGGCTATTGTGGACATTGCTGCTATCACCTTCTACCTCCCTCTCCTGCACCTCATCTTCTGGGACCCCTATTACCCAGATATTATTTCACTTTATGGGATCAGTGAGTTCTCTAAGTCTCCCTTCATGATCCAGTAGTTTTCTTTCTTCTTTTCAGCTTCCTTATTTTCCATCATTTTATCTTCTATATCATTGACTCGCTCTTCTGCCTCATTCATCTTTGTTTTTATATCCTCCATTTGGGACTGCATCTCGGTAACAGCATGTTTAATTTCGGCCTGACTACATTTTAGTTCTTTTATTTCTACAGTAAGGGATTCTCTAGTGTCTTCTATGCTTTTCTCAAGCCCAGCTAGTATCTTTATAATCATTGTTTTAAACTCTAGTTCAGACATCTTACTTATATCCATATTGATTGAATCCCTTGCAGTGAGTACTACCTCCTGTTCTTTCTTTTGGGGGTGAATTTCTCTAGCTCGTCATTTTGTCCAGAAAAGAATAAAAGAAGAAAGAGAAAAAGCATTAATAACAACAACAGATAAAAAACAAACCAGAAAAAAACAAAAACAAAACAAAACAAGAAAAAAACAAGAAACAAAACAAAGCAAAGAACTAGACTGGGTGTGTTTTGGTCTGCTTGTTAAAAGAAATGAGATCCCAAAATAAGAAAGAAAGAAAGCTTATATATATACAAAAATAAAATAAAATACAATGAAAGGAAACAAAAATAATATACATATATACCATATATATAAAAATAAAAATTATGAAAGAATAAAAAATTAATTGAAAAAATAAGAATAACTGAAAAAATAATACTGAAAGACTAAAGAATAATAAATAATAATAAAAAAAATGCTATATACTGTTTTCCCCAAGAGCTGAAGCTTTGCAGCGCTCTATGATCAGTAAGCTTGGTGTGAGCCAATTGTTCCTGCTGGTCTTCTGGGGGAGGGGCCTTTTGCACAGATTCTCAGGTGCACTTGCCCTCTTGCACATGTGCCTCTCTTGCTAGGAGGCTGGGCTGTAAGCAACTCCGGATTCCACTATGGCGCTGTTTTGTTCCCTGAAGGCTTTCAGCACTGATGGGTGGGATGAATAGGGCTGTGCCCTGCTCTCTAGCCCGGGAGCTGAAAATTCGCGCCCCCCGCTCTTCAGTGAGCCCTCAAAGAAAAGCAGTCAATCACTCTTGTCTCCCTGGTTTCTGAGCTCTGTGTTCACCCAGCCTGTGACCGAGCGTTTTTATCTCAGGCACATGACTGAATTTCAAAACTCTAAATTTTAAGGACTCCTGCAGTGTGGACCTGCACTCTTCCTCCCCAGGGAGGGAGAGGGTCTTGCCATGCTTCTGCCTTTTGCTGGACCACTGTCAGGAAAGCGGTCACACGACTGTGCAGCGGTTTGCAGTTTATGGCAACACCAAGCAGAGGGCTGGCACCTAGACTCGCTGTTCTCAGCTGCTTCCCCACTCCTGTGCCTGGGAACTCTGCTGCACCCAGGCACCCCCGTTCTTCTTGTGACCCCAGGGATCCTGAGACGATGCTGTCACACCTGGGATTCCACCCCGCTTTACCTCCTGAGCACCCTTAAGCCCAGGACATCCCTCACTGTAGCAGACTTCTAAAAGTTTCAATTTTGTGTTCCGCTGCTTACAATACCTTGTGGTAGCCTCCTTAAGCAGGCTCCTTCCCCTCCGCCATATCCTCAGATATATCACCCCAGATTCGAGTCTCTGCACCTCCTACCTTCCATAGAGTGGTCGCCTTTCTACTCATAGAATTGCAGCATTTCTTTTCTCAGATCTCTGATTGATTTTGCAGGTGTTAAGAATGATTTGATAATGACCTAGCTGTATTCGAGGGACCAGGCAAACTTAGGGTCTCCTACTTCTCCACCATCCTAACTCCATCCCTGTGAATTTTTTTCTTAAATTAGACCCTCAAAGCATTAGGCATAGTACTGAGCATACAATACAAATTCAAAAGTCACATCCTGAAAGGCTGCAATACCAAGTTATTCTAGTGCCAGTGTACACTAGCTCAATGTAATATTCAAAGTGAGTTACTTACTAAGGCAAATTTTTTGTTGAGAATCATCTGCTCCACCAAAGATGACTCATTGTGGAAGAGGTGGGGTTGCATATGGCTCCACATATGAGGAAACCACCAAAACTCATCCACAGACCCCAGAAGATGGTCATCCCCTTCATCTTCCTCTTCCGTTCCTTCAGGGGGAAAAGGTTGTTAATTCCAGTTACAATGATTGTCTGCCCATCCATCCATCCATCCATCCATCCATCCATCCATCCATCCATCATCTATCCAATTATGTACTCGCATATATGTATTTAGAAGACACCATTTATACTTTCTTTGATACATAGAAGGCTTTGAACATGAAGTGTAGCAAAGAAAAACCCATTACTCGGGGAACAACCAGAGACTGTGACAAAACTCTTTTAAAAGTTTTTCAACATGAGACATGGGTATAAAATTACTGCAAAATGGAAATATGCAACCATTCCCAAGGACATTAGAACTCTTTTAGTGTCTTTGTATAATCTGTAGTTTAGACAGAATGGGGAGATAAGTAGAAAATGGAATCAAGGGAATGTGAATAAAGAAATGAGTGGCAGATCTCTAGCAGCAAGTCATTCTGACATGGGTTGTGACACCACAGTCACAATAAAATAATTCCATAATTTATTTGGGTTCATCATTAGCTCTGAGAAGAAGCTACTCAGTATTTAGTGAGAACTAAGGTATAAACAAGGAGGAACAAAGGAAATGTAGGAATTGTTATTTGGAAAATTAGAGAAAACTGAAGGGAAGAAAGGAGAAAGGATGAAAGAGGCTGGGAAGTGGTAAAGTCATAGTAAAACAAGACAAGCAGCTCCTTGGTGGTACTCATGTTTCTCATGCTTGTTCTTTCTCTCACGTTCCTGGAAGCAGATTTTCCGTCAAGAAACTCCTATTTCCTTGAGAGTCAGCCCTGTTGTCATTCTTCTTATTTTTCCTATTTGGGCATGTTTTATTTCCTCCATTTTCCCTGACCTGCAGTTTAGTTGAGTGTGGGAAATTCCTCAATTTTCTTAACTTGAGGGGGGATAGGACTCTCCTGGCTTCTTTACTAAAGCACGAAATGAGAGCAGTAGAGGGTGCCTCACTACTATCCTGTCATATCATAAGATGTTATTAATCATCACAAAGTTAGGCAATCACACTTAAATTTCAGCCACAACACTGAATCTAACAAGCTCCTAGAATATAGAACAGTAGGTTCTTCAAATGATGTTCCCTCTGTGTGGAGAAAATGTTCTCTCATATTTTCAAAAATTTCATTTTTCTGGGGACTCAGTCAGTTAAGCATCTGCCTTTGGCTCGGGTCATGATCCCAGTGTCCTGGGATCGAGTCCCACATCGGGCTCCTTGCTCGGCGGGGAGCCTGTTTCTCCCTTGGCCTGCCGCTCCCCCTGTTTGTGCTCTCTCTCTGAAAAATAAATAAATAAAATCTTGAAAAAATTTCATTTTTCTGATATGACTGGTTTCAATAGTGCCCTATAGGCTAAAGATGGAGGGCAGACTGCTCCCCTCACCCAGCCAATTAAGCCCAGTGCCTGTTACTACTGCTCTTCTCTTCATTTTCCCGAGAGAAGGAAGGCAGAGCCCACTGGCAGGAAAAGAATCAGATTCCTATGGTTTACTGGGCAGTGAAAGTGACTTACCAAAGATAAAAGCATAGCGTAAGGCAGCATAATGTAGAATGAGTGGAATCACATAATTCTTCAAAAGGACAGATTTTAATTTCACTTTTATATGGTTAAATACTCTGCTGATATGAAGAAACTTTTTTCTTTATATATAAAGGGCACCTTTAAATTTAATCTGTTTTAGTTCCTTAATATTTTCCTCCTCATCACACATTCATGTTACCATAATATTGTGGAACAAGGAGAGCCTTTAGAGTTAGAAGTTTTTAGTTTATTTGTAGCTCCCGACACACTTGAATTGTGTGATTGTGGGCAAGTCCCATAACCCCTTTAATGTCTGTATTTATGTAGGTAAAAGATGGATAGCAATACCTATTTTATTCTTTTGGGGAGGAAGTGGCACTATAATCCTGGCACATATTAGGTAATCTAAAATGCCTTTTTCCTTTCTTTTTTATGTTTCCTACTCTTGTTCTCCTTGTGTCTTTTGTGGGTCTCCTTGAGTTTTATTTTTTTCCATGATAATACTGCATGACGGTGTGGTGGAAGGTCTCACCTGGGTGTTATGTGGCAGATGGGACACTGTGTTCAAGAACTGACCACACCATCATATTAACTGACTGACTTGATTAGTGAGTCACCAGCAAAAGCCTTCTTGGGGCTTCTGAGTGATTATTTTACAGTTCAGGGAAAACTTCTAGAGAGGAAAGCAAAGGAAGAGGAATATATGGATTCAGGATTTAGAATCTCTGATGACCCCAATCATTGCAGGGTCTTGGGTCCTGCTACCTTTTAGGTGATAAATATGGTGGCCATGGTGAAGAAACATTTGTTACATTGACTGGTGATGCTTACATATATGGTTTTTTTGACATAAGGATGATTTAATCTAGTTTCCCCACAATTAAACTTCTCTACTTACATCCAAGAGACTCTCCTCTTTCTTAACATTTTGTATATCCTGAGGATACCATATTAGTTAAGATTACCATCAGTTACTTATTGCAGTTTTACTTTCCTTTGAAAAGAGGCATAAGTCTCTTGGGGTTTCCCAGTAATCAGCGCATTCCCACCTTGCACTCCTCTGGATAAACTGAATGTGGGTAGAGATGAGATTTCCTAGATTATGAAAAGTCACCCCTCTACTCCTTTAAATCTCTATCCTCTGCCCCCTATAACTTCTACCTTTCCCTGCATCTTCTCATTTCTCTTTTGTTCATTTTTCTAGTTGGACTTTACCCGAAGTTTCTATATCAGGACAGTGGAAAGGTAGCTTTGAAAGGATAGCTCAGGCATTTGTTTTCCTTTCCTGAATATCATGGTAAAATCTGCTATTAAAATATTCATATATTTGAATCCCACAGGAATTAGACAAGTGATGTTCGCCCTCTTTATATAGATTCATAGTAGGCATAAATGTGTACCTTTTCCTTTTTCTTTATAACTCTTTCTGATCTGATTTCATTTGATCCTACTTTGGGGAGGTTTTCCATCAGAATTAATTATATTGAGAACAAGTGTCTATTGCTTATTACTTTAAACATAATGATAAAAAGCAGTTGAAACATAGCTGTGGTTGGATGCTGTGGGTGCTTGCCACCCTTTTATCTCCTGACTTTGTTAACCTTTGTTAGAACTGGAGGAAGGGAGAACTAGAAGTCAAATTCCTCAATTTTAAGTTGTTACAAAACTACACTGAGATCTTATAAAGTTATTGCAAAGTATTTTATTAGGTATCTACTTAAATAACTTATGTCTCTTCAGTATTTTATCTTCTGTTTTTCCTACCATAATATTGAAAATCATCATTGACTGACATTCTGCCTTTTGTCAAGCATTGTGTTAACTATTTTATAAGCATCATCTCATTTAACTCTCACTAAAACCCTATGAGATAAGGACCACTGCTAACTCTATTCTTCAAATAAGGAAACTGATATTTGGAAAGGTGAAATAATTTGTCCCATGTCACCAACAAGATTGGAGCAGAACCTCGTTTCTTACTGGGAATTTTTATTTTGAGTTGTGGGAGGTGCTCAAGTAAGGAAAGAGGAGGAATCTTTCAGAAACAATAAGGAAACACAGCAACTGGCTAGAATCATTGTTTAGCATTCAGAATTGGACAAAAAGTTGAGTTGCCAGGAGTATTTTCTTATATTTCTATTATGTTTGGGAAAGAAAGCTTTTAATTATTCTTAGTATTTACAGTGCTTTTCTTTCACAACACAACATGGTCAAATTTGATTCTCCAACCTATAAATTCTAACCCAGATTAAACAACTGCAAATTCAGGGCCCTTAACTATCATTAACTGACCAAATTTGGAATTTAGAAACAAGATCATCATTTACTAATTCTATATAACATTGCTCTTCACACTGTTAATTAATTCTGTGATTTAGTTAGAATTTACCAATACTGTTGGTTCTCCATGATTTGGGGAAATATACATACCTAAGGAAGCTATAGATAAGAGGAAGGAACCCTTTGCCATTCAGCTTCCTTTATCAAGGATTGCCAATTAAGCAATAAAAATCCAATTTAGCTAACGCATAGGACTTGGGCTCTGCCTGACCTAAAGTTAAGACTATTTTTGACACTTAACTAGCTATATGACCTTGGGCTCCTCTCAGTTTCTACATTCTTTTTTTTTTTAAAAGATTTTATTTTTTATTTGACAGAGAGGTAGAGAGAGAGCACAAGCAGGGGGAGTGGCAGGCAGAGGGAGAGGGAGAAGCAGGCTCAATAAGCAGGGAGCCTGATGTGGGGCTCAATCCCAGCACCCTGGAATCATGCCTGAGCCAAAGGCAGATGCTTAATGACTGAGCTGCCCAGGCACCCCAGTTTCTACATTCCTATCTAGAAAACAAGGTAACATATTCTTTAACTCCTAGGCTTCATTGAAAAGGTGCATGAAAAGTGCTTAGCTAAGTTCCTACAATAAGGTGTTGCTCACTAAAAGGGAACTATGAATTTATTTCCTTCATCTCTTCATGTTTCAAAAATGCACAAACTCTTCAAAAACTAAAATATATCAAACAAGATGGAACGCTCTCTGGAAAGAAAGTCTTAACTATTATGATAGTGCTATTTTTCTCCTTCCCTTCAAGATTGAATAAAATGGAATTTTTAATAGGAAAAGGAATTACTCATTTAGAAAGGAAGACAATGCAATTCAATTAAACTTTACAATTTCTCACTTTGAAAGATTCAGAGTATTAAATTTTACATCTGTTCCCACTAAAAAATGATTGTATTAGTTTTAGATAACCCTAGCTAAGTTTTTGTAGAAGCTTTCATATGATACGCAGATAAGATCCCTTCAAGCCTTGGCTTTGTTCTGTGTTCTTTCCTTGGCTTAGGTAGTGGACATTCTTACTGTTAGCTGTGGGAAGTGCCCAAGTAAGGAAAGAAGACAAATCTTTCAGAAACAAAAAGGAAGGAGAGCAATGGGCTAGAGTCACTCTTTAGCATTTAGCATTGGGCAAAAAATAAGTTGCCAGAAGTGTTTTCTCCTATTTCTATTATGTCTGGGAAAGAAAGTTTCTGATTATTCTTTTTTTATAAAAGATTTTATTTACTTATTTGACAGAGAGAGGCACAGCAAGAGAGGGAACACAAGCAGCGGGAGTGGGAAAGGGAGAAGCAGGCTTCCCGCGGAGCAGGGAGCCCGATGCGGGGCTCGATCCCAGGACCCTGGGATCATGACCTGAGCCGAAGGCAGATGCTTAATGACTGAGCCAACCAGGCGCCCCTCTAATTATTCTTCATATTTAGAGTGATTTTCTTTCATAATGCAACATGGTCAAATTTTATTCTCTGACCTTGTTTTTGTAAAATACGAAGGGTTAAAATAAAAGTGATTTTATTTTCACTCAGTCATTTGTTCATTAATTCATTTTCAATAGCCACTGTCCTAGTTGCTGGTGTTACAATAGTGAAGCCTTCATGGAGTGTTCATTTTAGTAAGGGAAGAGAGCCAACAGATAAATAATTTAAAGATAAAGTGCATTCAACACCCATTCATGACAAAACTCTTAGTCATCTAGGAATAGAAGGGAGCTTCCTTAAGCTAATAAAGAGGGTCTGGGGCACCTGGATGGCTTAGATGGTTAAGCGTCTGCCTTTGGCTCAGGTCATGATCTCTGGCTCAGTGGGGAGTCTGCTCTCCCTCTCACTCTGCCTCCCCCTGTCCATGTGTGCTCTCACTCTCAAATGAATAAATAAAAACCTTAAAAAAAAAAGAGTGTCTACAAAATAGTCTATTGAAAGAATTGCCCTTGAGAATAGGAAAAAATCTACTGAAAGATTTCCACTGAGGTCCAGAATAAGACACGAGTGTCACCATGACTACTTTAATTTTGTACTGGAGATCTAAGCTAGTGTAATAGGGAAGGAAAAAAAATTGTAAGGCTCAGAAAGGAGGAAGGACAATTTTTAATTATCCAAAAATTACATGATGTATTGGTAGGAAACCCAAAAAATAGTCTACAAACTATAGAAATAATAAGTGAACATAGCAAGATTGCTATATACAAGATCAGTACACAAAAGCAATTGTATTTTTACATACCCCCAACAAAGAAATGGAAAATGAAATAAAAACAAGACACTATCTGCTATTGCATCAAAAAACTGCACCAAAGAATAAATCTGAAACCAGTAAAGTTTTACCAAGTGTAATTAAAGATGACCTAAATGTGCTCAAGGATTGGATGGCTCAATATTTAGGATGGCATCTCTCCCTCAAATTAATAGATTTAATGCAATCTTAATCAAAATACTAGCATGTTTCTTTGTGGATACTGGTAAGCTGAAATTTATATGAAAATGCAAAGGGCCAAGAATTTCCAAGGCAATCTTGAAGAAGATGAGCAAAATTGGAGAACTTACACTAGCAGATATTAATATTAATTATAAAGTTACAGTAAATAAGATAGTGTGATGTAGACAAATAGATCTAATGAACAGGAGAGTCTAGAGTCGACATATATGGTTATATATGTCAACGATGATACTAGGGTGCAGTGGGAAAAGGAAGGTCATTTCAGTACTTGGTGCCAATTAGATATTTTTATAGGAAAAAGAAGATATCTTGACCTGTATCTCACACATACACAAAAATCAATTCCAGATGGATTTCAGATTTATAAGTTTTAAGAATGTAGGAACATATTTTTTATGATCTTATAGTATTCAAAGATGTCTTTAAAAAGACACAAAAAGGTGACCACTAAAGGAACAAAAAGTTGAACTGGACTACATGAAGTATTTTTGGTCATCAAAAAGCACCACTAGGAGTATGAAAAGACAATCCACACAATAGGAGAAAGTATTTGCAACACATATAACTGACAAAAGGCTCATTAAGAATATATAAAGAAAAAAAAGAAAAAAGAATATATAAAGAATTTCTACAAATCAGTAAGTAAAAGCATACAACCCTATAGGAAAAAAAAATCTCAGATAGTTCACAAAAGAAGATATCCAAATAGCCAATAAATACATGAAATAAGCTCAATTTCACTGCTCATAAGAGAAATGTACATTAAAACCATAACATATCTTTACATGCTCACCAGAAAGGCTAAAATTAAAAAGACAAATAACATGAAATGTTAGTGAGAATGTGGAAGAACAGGAAAACTCATATAATGTTGGGAATGTAAATTGATACAACCATTTTTGAAAAACTGGCATTTTCCTACTAAAGTTGGCCATAAGTGTGCTATATAACTAAAAATTCTAGTTTTAGTTGACAGTCAACAGAAAAGAATAGTTATGTCCTATGAAGGACAGGTACAAAAATGTTCTTAACGTGATTATTCAAAAAAAGCTAAAGACTAGGAAAAAACCCAACCATCTACATTGGAAAGGAATGGAATAAAGAAATTTTGGTATATTCAAACAATGGAATGCTATAAAGTAGTGAAAATGAAAGAATTACAACTATATATAATATGTATAACTATATGTACAACTACATGTAACTATAATATCTGTAAAAACAGAATAATGTTGAACAAAACATGTGGCTCTAGAAGAGTCCATACTGTATGATTCCTTTTATACACATCTCAAAGCCATGCAAACTAGTTTGTGATATTAGAAGTCAGTCAGGATAGTTGATTTTTTTGAGGGAGGCTAGTGACCATGAGGAAGCACAAAGTGGGTTGCAGGGGGGATTTGGTACCCTTCTTTCTCTTGATCTGCACGCTGGCTTGTGAAAATTCACTGAGCACTACACTTATTACTTATGCACTTTTATCTATGTAAATTATAGTTCAGTAGAAAAGGAAGGCCATTAGGCCATTATAACATGGTGAGTAAACTTTCAAACCATCAACATTTTCTTAAAGGTTAAAAAATGATATAGTAATTAAGTGGAATTGAGTAATATGAAGAAAATAAAAATGGAGAGAGACATGGAATGTGGGAAGGTATGAAGAGAAGGGGTCCCAATTTTTGAGTAGTCAGAGAGGCCTTACGAGAATAATTAAACTTTTTCTTACCTGTATGGTAAAATTTTCCTGAAAATCCCAGGTTGAACGTAAAATTTGTGATTTGTGCACGCAAAAGGTTCTGAGTGTCAAGCAGGGCCTGAAATACACAGTTTAAAAAAACCACATTATCAGGTTAGAGAATGGCATTGAGAAGTTTTAAAAGATATCTTCGTTTTGCATTCAAGGGGTAAAACTAGTGTCTGGGTAAGGGGTAAAAATGATGGAAAGTAGTGTCTTTACCACTTTACAACTAGAGAGATGCTTTGAAGATTCCGCAAACATATACATATATTTATTTATCCTTTAGCTTGCAATAAATCAGCAAAAAGTGTCAGCTAGAAAAAGGAAGTTACATGAAAAGTTTATCCTGCACATATTAAAGGAATTATTATCTAGTACATAAAATATATCTCCTTTCACTTCTCAGGGACATAGATCACCAACTGTCAAAAGAAGGACACTCTTTAAGTGAAACTATGCAAGAACATATGTTGAAAGAATCATTATGATTTCTCAGATATGTCTTTGGTCTTCAAAATCCAAGACTTCAATCTTTGAGTCTTAGATTCCCACAAGCTAGTGACTGTTCTTCAAAAGAGGATATCACGATAAAGTAAATCTCTAATTTGGCTTTTCATTAAAAAACAAACAAACAAAAACCCCTATTCTGACAGTAAAACTCTTTTAAAACAGAGTTTTAAATGTTACATCTTATAAAGTATTTACCATGCTATGAATTTTTAATGGACTTCTTTTTTTCCTTCTCCTTCTTTTCTTTCTCATTTAAATTCCTATTTTTCTATTCCTTCTGTTCCTGCCATCCTCCCTACACAGACTGTGGTAGTTGAGTACCCACTTGAACTAGGCAGAAAGTAACACTAAATGTTAGATTTGTAAAGGATCTTAGTTAACACTTCTTTTACACACAGGGAAACTGAGGAGAGATGACGTGCTCATTTTCACAGATAAAATTAGATTAAGTAGATTAAGGTAAATCGTAGACTAAGGATATAGATTCCTAGATTCCATATTAGATACTCTTTCCCCCCCTTTCCGTTGTATAGCTGGGCCCATAATAAAATCTTTTTTTTAGCAGCAAAGCTGACACCCAGAAGCCTTGCCCCATAATGTTCAAGGTTTCAATCTTTTTGGGGGATATAAATAGATATCCTTTTATTCAGAGATTACCCCATGATTGTATGCCTTATCTGTGCATATAAGTGATTCTCCTTATTGTGTAAAAACAGAGGAAGAGGACTTTTGAATCTCAAATTTAAATTCATCTGACCAATGACAAGTTTTTGAAAATTAGGTATCTAAATTTTTTTCTTTGACTACTCTGTTTACTTGAACAACTTCCTTTGATTGCACAACTGAACTGGGAAATATGTGGGTCCGGAGGGCCCTCAAAGATGGAAGACAGGTCTGTTTGTGGATTTCCATGCCTAAGTATCAAAGCAAAAGGGTTAATGATGGCAATGTCATTGGATGGCAATTAGATTCTGTCATCACAAGGCCTTGGCATGGGTTGGGCAGGGGAAGGAGAATTTGGTCAGCTCAGCAGTGACAAAGTAAATAGTGGGACCCAGAATCCTGTTGTGTGAAGGGGTGGAGAGTGGTGCCACCTGGATGTAAGGTGTGAGCCTTTCTCTTTCTGTCCTTATGGAAGGAACATAAGGTATGGAATAGGAAGGTATGGATTGAAGTGCCAGCTCTGAGACTTACAGCGAAGGCATTTAAGACTTGGGAGTCAGATTGCCTCAGCTGGAATTCTAGATCTGCCCCTATTCAGTATTGGGCATGTTATTAAAATTTTCAAACCTCAGACGCATCACATGTAAAGTAGGGATAATAATAATAATCTCAGAGCACTATTGTGAGGATGACATACTTCTATGCTCTTGGCACCGTGACTGGCACATAATAGGTGCTCAACAATTATTAGTTGCTGCTCCTCTATTATTGCTTCGGTTACTATCACTACTATTAACATGGTTGTTGTTATTGTCAGTGATGTTAGACAATTCATATTCTCTGAACTTTTCCCTTCATTTGCTAGAGTGGAGACAATTATCTAACTCCTAGAGTTGTGATGAGGATTATAAAAGAGGCAATATATGCAGGAGGGCTTAATAAGCATTTTTTAAAAAGTGGCATAAAATATTAGGTGTTGATATAATTATCAGCAATCATAATATACATATGTATATATATTTTAAAAGATTTATTTACTTGAGAGAGAGAGAGCATGAACTGGGGGAGGGGGGAGAGAGAGAGAGTGCCAGTACGCTCCTGCACACTGGCGGGAGGAGAAGAGGGAGAGAATCTCAAGCAGACTCCCCATTGAGCACAGAACCAGAAGCTGGGCTGATCGCATGACCCTGAGACCATGACCTGAGCCAAAATCAAGAGTCAGATGCTTAACTTACTGAGCCACCCAGGCGCCCCTATATATATATATATACGTGTGTATATATACACACGTATATATAATATATTACTGACAATTATATCATCTGTCTCATTTACTTAAAGTTGTTTTTCTCATTTTATTGACCTACAGTCTCCTTCTTCTTTTTCACTTCTTCTCCCCAGTTTAACATGCTAGCTGGCTCTTCCTTCCCTTTTGATCTTATCTTCTTCTTTATCCATCTTACTCACTTCATATATTCATTCTACTCACTTTATTCAATGGTTAAAATATGGATTTGGAATCCATTTTGAAATAATTTCTTGTGTGTTCGATGCTTTAAAGTTGGAAGTTTTTCTTTTTGTCTCTTCGAAAATAAAATCCCCAACTAAACTTGAACTTTGCTTTATGACTCTTGATTGCCTTTTAAAACTTAAAATACTTGATAAGAAAAAAACAAACAAGCCTATCTTGTTCTGAGGTCTTAGAAGCTAAATAATGTACCTGTGAACTAACCTCTAAATCAACTAGAATACATTGATTCAAATTATTGAACAAGACCTGATTATGCAGGTTTGAGTTGGCATTTTACACATTTATTTGACGTTATAGAAACAAACACTGAAGCACATAAAAGATATACTGAAACAGATGGTAGATACTAACATTATGCCTATATATGGTGAAGAGGGAAATTTATTTCTAAATGATATTTTATATACTTAAGATAAACAGTAATATTTCTTATCTATTATATATTTTTTTGTGAACCAGATTTTGGGGGTATCTATGAGAACAATGTTATGTATTCATCCATTACTTCCCTCTCTTCAAAATATGCTTTTGTGCTAGAAGCTAGAGCACTCAGCAGTATTCTTAGATGATACCCTTTTCATTAAACTCTTCATTGCTAGAATGATTTTATTCAACATTAGTCTGTTTAAAACTGAGATAGTCTATTATTACTATGAATAAAATCTTACAAAACTGATATAAATGATACTTTGCTTTATTCTTTATGTGCAACATGCCAAAAGTGGTGTGATAATATCTAAAAATCTAATCATAATAAGCCAAATCAATGTTCTAATACCAAATTCAGAAAACCACAGGCATTTTGGGTAAGCAAACCCTCTATGATGTGCAGAGGACTTTGGTCATGGAGAAGGTAAAGAATCACAACCACCTGCAGAGGTACCATTTAGTGGTCTCCTCCAGGCCAAGAACCCTAAGAACATAGATTTCTACTGTCAGGAATGGTCTGATTATTGAAAAATGGTACTTTTATTTTTAACTATTCCAAAACTTTTTATATATATAGCAAGTTAATTTATAATTCCATGCATTAGTAATTATTTTTAAAATAACATGTTACTTTTTCTAATTAAAAACTCAAAATCACTAATAAATCCACCTCTCAAGATAAGTTAATAATTATGATGGAATTCTTTCCCCCTTTTACCAATAACTACCCAATCATATGTAGATCTATATAGGTATAGGTAAGTGAAATTAGAGCCATCAAGCAAAAATTAGAACTATGCCAATTACTGCTAAAAATATAGTTTCAAATTTTGCCTTGTCATCCATCTATCAACTATCTATCTATCTATCTATCTATCTATCTATCTATCTATCCATCTTTTAAAGATTTTATTTGTTTATTTGAGAAAAAGAGAGAGAGAGAGACAAGCAGGGGCAGCAGCAGAGGGAGAGGGAGAAGCAGACTCCCCGCCGAGCAGGGAGCCTGACGCAGGGCTCCATCCCAGAACCCCGAGATCATGACCTGAGCTGAAGGCAGCTGCTTAACCGACTCAGCCATCCAGGCGCCCCACCTTTGTCATTTAATAGTATATTAGGAAGCTTTCTCCTGTCACATTAACCTTCCAAAACCAAATTTGTTAATGAGTGCAGAATACCGCATCAGATCAGTGCCCTATAATTTATTTAACCATTTCATCTTACTCCTGTACATTTAGGTTGTTTACATTTTTTGCAGAATATAAATACTGCTCTCTGTGTCAATACGTGTTTATATAACAATGTGGTAGCCATTTCTGCAGGAGATAGGAGGATAAGAATAATTCTGCTTATTCTTTGGCAAATAAAACAATTTTTCAGCAAATTTGAAAATGCTATGAAAGTATTAAAAGAGAACATAACATCCAGTTAAAATTATAAGAAATTGAACTATGAATATAGTTTAACATGAAAATTTGACTATTTCCAAAATGATTTTTTCAAATTTTGAATATGTATATGCTATCGTGCTTAGTTTTTTGAGGGTTCATTCTACAAAGCTAAAAGCACTTGCAGGCATTAAAAAATCCAGTTGAAGGCCAAGAAGATCTAATTTAAAGAAACTGAGCTCTGAGAACTGAGCAAAATGGGAGCTTTTATATATTTTTGGACTTTCTCCAACATTCATTAACAGAATGAATATATCAATTAAAGTAAATCGAAGACAAAATTTAAAAATAACTGCAAAAAATGGAGATTCACATAGTATTCATTACATGTGTGACATTCTTTGAGGGAACGTTTACTAACTTTGTGTTTCTTATCTGTGTTTCCCAGATGATATTTTGACCTGTTTTATCTTTTATAAGGTAACTAAAGGAGTTGTGAGCCAAATTAAAGCTGGGGAAGAAATTTTAGTGCTGGGTGTGGTTTTCTAGCAATAGGCA